TTCAGTTTGTTTTGTTCTGAGCGCTCTCTGTCCTTCGGCAGATTGTATGCTCCCTCTCCTGCATTCCACGCTTCGCATCGCAACTCAGCGCTGCAGACCGATCATGGTCCTTTGCAAGTAAGATTAGGGTCGGAGTAGGTAACCCCCTTGTAGTCCTTATAATGCAACTCAGCTCACATAACGTACCCTGAAAGCCCCATACTCCAGCAATGAACGCTCCTGTAGTAGGTTCTTGTTGATTTCCACGCCGCCCCTGCCCCCAAACCCTGAACTGCCCGACGAACCTACAACACCTAGCAACACCAACAAACTATCAACGCCGAAGCTGAATACCTCCAACTTGCTCAGGTTCGAATACTGCCTTCGGATGCTGCGCTTATGCAAGGATGTGACATAAGGGAAAAGGAAAAGTTGTCGGGTTAAAGTTCCTGGGAGAAGCACCATGTATCGCTGATTTCGCCGCCTGGGTGCTTGGAGCGACGCCCGCATATTCTTAGTACTGGTCGTTTCATTTCTTGCTGCAACACATTGGCCCAAGCCTCTTGGTCAATCAGTCTCAACGTTGCGCTGCATGGCCATGCACGCAGTTGTCTCGGGTATCCCGTGACATGGCGCATGCAGTTTAGGCTATATCATGGTGCGAGCTATTTCCGACGCGATTCGCTCTGGCTGGAGCTCCAGCTTCAGGCATGCGGGATTCCTGATATCCTTGGCGGTGGCCACATCTGGACCTGTCCTGGGTCGCCTGTCTATCGACGATCTCCATCTTGTCATTACCACCCCAGTCGCGAAGGTGCAAGATGGTGAACAGCCACTCTTGGACATTCCGCTGAGAGCAAAGATCCTGATTGATGTAGGGGCTCACCGAGAGTCAACCTTCCTACCACGGCTGAAAAGTGATCCCGCGGCATGGGTTATCGCCTTCGAGCCGGACTCACTGCACTACGCGCACCATCTTGTAAATCATGCCCACCCGCGGATGATCTTGATCAATGCGGCGGTGGGTCACAGCGCCAGAGGCCTTACATACGCTCGGAAGGAACGGGAGAACAGGCCATACATAGTACCATGGAGGATTCTCATCCTGTACCCCTAAAGCTAATTCCTTGAGAGATATGCCATCGACATGCCTTCAACCCGACTATGTACCCTGCATCGTAGGTTCGTCCTAGCAGGCGGGATGCAAGAAGTTCCTGAACTCAAAGCCCCAAACCCTAAATCCGGAAGCCTGAAGCCAACCACAGAAAGGAAACCCAGCTTCGATGCCCAGGCTGGTCGACCCTATATCGCTGGGCATATTCAGGAGCGGAGTGGCACTTCAATACTGGCTCTAAGACGCAGATTGGTGCCTGTCTCATGCAGTATGCATCCCGTTTTGAGTTCTGCGGGGTTCATTCTATGTCAATGGTTCAGCTTAGCAAGCGGGTGCTGTATATGTATTCAGAACAATATCAGGGATGTTTTCGTAACGCAAAGTAGTACTTGGCTGATAGTCTCACTCTGAAAATACTAAGGTTCATTGCTGCAGGCTGATCCAAAAAGACAGTTAACTCCCATGAGACGATGCAAGTGGCTGTTGTGTCACTCGCAGACATCCTGGCCATTTTACCGGATCGCGTGCAAATCTTGAAAATTGATGTCCAGGGTGCTGATCTTGAGGTTGTAAAGTCTGCTGGCACAGAGCTCAAGCGGATAGATCGGATTGTCATGGAGATTCCGAACGACACACCTCGTCCAATATATTCTGGCCAGCACACGCGCAAGGAAACCGAGGAATACTTGGTACACCTCGGTTTCCGCCCTGAGAGGTGCTGGGAGATCTCTGAAGCAGAGCATGACTGTACCTTCGCTCGCTCTGAAGCATGGATAGACTTGCCATCGAAGGCTGAGTGCTTCCCAAGCAATCGCACTCTTAGGCTGTTCAACCTCTGGCATGGGCTAATTGACCACACGTGTTCCACGAACCAGTACCCCTGCGAGCGCGACCCGCAACCTGAGGTGAAAATGCTGTGGATAGAAATACTCTGCTGTGGCCTAAACCCTAAACCCTAAACCCTAAACCCTAATGGTTGCTGAATACATCTGCTTCGGCCGGAAGCGTCGGCCTTCCTACGAGACATGCTGCCTGGCCCCGTACCTGACTTCCATCGGGTATCCAAAACCTGGCCTCATCTCCGGCATTGCTCCTTTATACTAGGGAGGCTTTCAGCTCGAACAGAAGGCTGCTTTGGGGCCCAGCTGGGTCTGGGCAGTTCAAACAAAATGAAATCCAATCTATGCCACCTACTGAATCTAGCTGCACACGACACGAAGTGAAGCCGTGGAGGAATGGCGGCGAGCGTTGTTCTGGTTTTGGAGGTCTCAGAGCTCGGGCCATGTGCGTGCAAAGAGTCCCCCGGGGAGGGCCGCATCGGTTGGAGTCGGGATTGTACCTTTGAGGTTATATCATACTACAACTCCTTCCGGGGAGTATCCACCACATACCTCAGTCGGTGTTCAATCTTCTACGTTACCATACAACCAAAACCTTGAAGCAGTCAAGTCCAGTCAGTGGGACGAGACACACGAACCAAGGTTCCAAGAACCTCGGACCCTGCCCAGATAAACCCTAAACCCTAAACCCTAAACCCTAAACCCTAAACCCCTAAACCCTTCAAGGGTCTAAGTTAGGGCTTCAGTTTAATCTAAGCGCAGAGGGCATCTCCGTTCCGCACCTTAGGGTGTGAGGATTCGCTGGTGAAGAACCCAGACTCCACTCCCACTCCACTCCGCCCAAGAACTGCAGCAGCAACACTAGATCTTAATTATCTTGTGGCCTCGATCCGAGAAATTCAGAACCCTCAACCCTAAACAGGCCCTAAACCCTACGCCAGCTGTGAGATGTTCGCTTACGGAAACCTGGAGCCCTTCCCACTCTAGACTCGAAATCCCGGGACTCTGAAACCTAGAGCCAAAGAACCCCTGAACCCAAGACCCCTAAAAATCCCTAAATAAGAACCCTCAGAGTATCAGCATCGCAGCCCTTCTCTGGAACCCAGAGAAGCATAAAAGCTCAAAGCCTCTATATCGGGGTTGCTTTAAGGGCTTAGGGTCCCGTTTAAGGCCTACGATAAGGGTTCCTTGAAGGATTTTAGGTATACCTACTATAAGGGTTGCTTTAGGGGTTTAGGGTCCCTTTAAGTCTAAGATCTAAGGTTGAACCCATGGGCCCCTAATATGGGGTTTAGGGTTTAGGGTTTAGGGTTTAGGGTTTAGGGTGGGATTCTAGGGTCCCTTAAGGGTATATATCGGGTATATAGTAGGTATATTAGGGTCGCAGGGTTAAGGGCCCATACTAGGGGCCCATGGGTTCTACCTTACATTCCTGAAACCCAGCGGCAGCAGGGTTTCCAGGACTTTAAACCCTACCTGTAGTCTCCATTGCTAGGGGTTTAAGGCTTAGGGGTTTAAGGGTTTAGGGGTTTAGGGTTTAAGGGTTTGAGGGTTCAGGGTTTTAGGGGTTTAGGGACCTAAAGTCTCCATTGTATTTCCTTTTGTTGGGATATCTTATAGGATCCTACGTATAGGATTGGTTAAGCTACAGACAGGAAGTGCAGTGGACACTGCAGGTAGGTTTGTTCAAGTATCGAGTCTATGGGGGTGGGCTATAAGTTCAGAGTGTAGAGGTTTAGGGTTCAGGGTGTAGAGTTCGGGCCATAACCCAGAGCCTTTGCAGACTCAGGCAGAGGAGGTTCAGGAATTGATTTACGATCCATCGATGCCGACGATGCCTACGGAGCCACGCAAGTTCCCCGCTTCTCGGCACAATGTCTGAAACGCCGTGTGCTGGAGGGTTCAGGGGCGATATTGTGCGAAACGTCATGCTATGTTGTTATTGACAGATATTGAACCCTAAGCCCTAAAACCCTTACCCCTAAACCCTAAACCCTAAAGCCTAAAACCCTAAGCCCTAAACCCTAAAACCCTTAAGCCGTACTTTGCTGGGGTTTGTTCAGCTTCGCCGTCCAAATACGGCTTGGAATTGCAGGGGACCCTGCCGTTCTGGTATTGGAAGGGGCATCCTCGGGCCGTAAGCTCATCCCGCGAAAGGTTTAGGGTTTAGGGTTTAGGGATTTTACAGCACATCGGGTTTAGGGTTCAGGGTTTATGGTTTATGATTAGAGTTGCAGCTATAGCCGCGCTGTCGTTTGAAGGTGATGTCTTCCTAAGATCACGAAGGAGGTAGTGGAGGGATAGTAGCAGCAGCGATATATAATATCCCCCAAAAAGCCCCAAACCGTAAACCCTAAACCCTAAATCCCTACACCCCACTTTCATGCTTCAGGCCCGCAAGTTCAGAAGCACCGGACAGAGCTGGGTTAGAAATGATGCCTACTTTGCAGTCCTATGGTTTCAGAGATGGGAGTTCAGAAAGGGTTTAGGGTTTAGGGTTTATTTGACTGTTCTTCCGCATGAGCAGACTGGATGAAGGATAGGACGTTTCGCAGCTGCTGCCGTTTGCTTTGTAGACTCAAAAACTCGGATTGTTTTTGACAGTGTTCTTGCACCCATCGCCAGAATACCCAGTGCTGTGTTGGATTTGAGGTTCGGGTTTGAGGGTTTATACTGTACTGTCCAGCACATTATCAGTTTCGCAATCATTGGCCGTTCTCATGATCAAGCTTCGGTTTGCAACAACAAAATCAGAAACCAGGAAACCAACTCAACACAATTCAAGTCGAATGTGTAGGCAGATTAGATCATGTGAGTTTGCCTTGACAGCAGACCGAAACAAGCACCTGTAGTCACCTCCTAAACCCGAAACCGCAAAAAACCTTTTAGAGGTATGCCCTTCCGATTTGTGCCTTCCTCCCTACCCTGAATCACTATCTCTCGCGGTTTTAGGGGTTTAAGGGTTTAAGGTGTAGGGTTTAGGGCTTAATTAGGGTTTAGAGTTTCCCTTTTTAGCAAGCGCCCTGTGCACCGATACCTCATTGGAAAATCCATCTTTTCACTCGGAGGCCGCACCTAGAAGCACTAGATCGTACCGTGTGGCAGCCCGCCGGCAGCGACTGCTCAGCACCATTTCCGAGTCGGCAGAGGCTTTGGATTTCGGGTCTGGGACCTTGGAGTTTTGGGCTTTGGGGGTCCGAGTGTTGAAGGCTTGCAGTTTAGTATTGAACAAGCCCTCTGGTTGACGCTGCGCGGGCTTACCGAATCCTGAGACTCTGAGATCAGGATTTGACAAACCCCGAGATCAAGGTTTGGAGCGCGCGCGGTTGTGTGTGTGTGTGTGTTGTTTTAGGGTTCGGTTTGTGCCGATTGGCTTTGGCCGTATACATGTGCACTTACATACTGGTATGCACACGTGGATTGTATTGTATCGTCTTGTACTGTATTGTATTCTTTTTGTATTGCACTGTACTGTACTGTACCGTATTGTATTATATGGTATTGTATTGTGGTGTATGTATGTATGTATGTATGTATGTATGTATGCATGCATGTATGTATCTATGTGTGTATCTGCTTACCCGTATGTATTTTTGCAGGCATGTGTGCATTGCATGGCATTGCATGGCATTGCATTGCATTGCGTTGCGTTGCGTTGCGTTGCATTGCATTGCATTGCATTGCATTGCATTGCATTGCATTGCATTGCATTGCATTGCATTGCATTGCATTGTATATATGTATGCATGTATGAATGAATGAATGTATGTATACATAATATTATATATATATATATATGTATATATACAATGTATGTAGGTATGAGTGTCTGTATGTAATTGTAAATGAAGATGTCAGTGTCGGTGTCAATGAACATGTACGTGTAAGTGCGTGTATGTATGTATGTATGTATGCATGCAGGTATGTATGTTTGTATGTCAAGTAGAAAAGACATATATATATATACAGAGAGAGATTACACCGAGATGTACATATACGGATAAACAGAAATCTTAAAAAAATCATTGCAAACACAAGCACATATCAACTCTTAGATACATATAAACATGCAAATGGGTATAAACACAAAAAATAAAAGAAAACATAACTATGTATGTATGTATGTCTGTATGTGTATATACAGATGTGCCTCACAGTGTCCCGCTTCCCAGTTTTGGATATGTACTGTATATATACACATGTGTACATACACATGTCCGTATATACATACGCATAGGCATAGAGTGGTTTATCTCCAATCTTCGGGGCGTGAAAACACCCCGATGTCGGTGTCATTCTAATCACGGTCCTTAGAAGGTTTCAAGTTAAAGAATCAGGAGTTTTGTATTTTAAAGTAGACACTAAAACCCTAAGCCCGACATGAACGGCTTGCCTTCACAACCCTGGATTACTGGACAGGTCAGACGAATAAACCGCACGTAGACCAAAGTACAGTAGTCATGTTTGTCTGGGCATGTGCACATACATGCACATCTACATACTCATCTACATACATATACAAAATCTGGGAGTGTCGGCCTCTCGACATGGACATAATTAAATTAAATCGGCTGTTCACAGCGGTGTATTGCGCGATCATAGGGGTTCAAAGTCTCAAGGAAGTTATGTCGTCTTGCTGTCTGTTTGGCCTTTGCTTGACAGGACCTAACCTCAGCAGTCCTAACCGGGGTTTGGAAGCTTTCGGACGATCAATTAGCTTGTTAAGGTTTCGCTTGGTCTCTTTAGAGCAAGAAGGAACCACATGTAGTTGCACTGTGTAGAGCCAATGCCTCCGCTGCTAATCACGATGCCACTGCCACTGCTGATGCCAATGCTGCTGCTGCCGCCAATTCCACTGCCACTGCGAGCACCAGTACCACTGCCACTACCACCACCGCCACGGCCATCGCCACCGCCACCACCACCACCACCAGCACCACCACCAGCACCACCACCACCACCACCACCACCACCACCACCAGCACCACCACCACACCACTACCACCACCACTGCCAACGCCACTACCACTGCCACTACCACTGCCACTACGACTACCACTACTACTACCACCACTACTACTACTACCACCACTACTACTGCTACTACTACTACTGCTACTGTTACTACTTCTACTACTACTACTTCTACTACTACTACTACTACTACTACTAGCCACCCCCCCCCACCTACCAACTACACTTTGTCATTGTC